TCTATCGCTCCTCTCCTACAACATGCTTATGGGGTTAATTAGTTTATTCATTCTACAGTACCCAGACAAATATAGAATTTTCGCGAATGGACCTTTCCCAGCGTAGTTCTTAGAGTGCAAATGTACAAAATAGAAAGTACAATAAAACCGTCACCCCAAACATCGTAAGTCGTCTTTAAGTTCGTAACAACAAAAGTAATGGTATCTCACATCAACAATACCTTCACATTTTTTTCTTCCCCAATCTCTCCCCCCCCCCCCTCCCGCTCGCCCTTCCCATCGCAAATTCACAGTCGTCAAAATCATAGCGGCAACAAAAGTAGTAGAGGAACCTCAGGGTTACCTGCAACTGTCGTGTTTCTTCGCTTATTCCTTTTTTCTTTCCTACAACATTCCCCCCCCCTCTTCCCCAAAAAATTGGTCCACCGAACCCCCGCACTTGAGAGCTCCATGATAGACCCTCTGAACGGAAATAGACACTCGGCCGAATGTCGATTTGTATAGACTCTTCTGACGATGTGCTTGTGCGACCTCGGCTGGACGGTCACCATCTGGCGTCCGACGATGACGACCGATTGCTGATCGATAATCGTAGAGAGCTTCATCGAATTTTCGAGGGGCTAATGTGATGGATAGATATCGATCGATTTCAAAAATCCCACAAAATTCGACTGAGTTTGAGCCTCTTTGATTCTTGCTCTTGCGCCTTTTCAATAAGGAACTTACATTAACTTTAACTCACTATGCGCTACACAACGTAATTGTTTTACCCCCCCCCCTCCTCGTATAAAAACTGTTGAATTTTTGCCTCACGCCATCAGTGTTGAACGCTTTGCGCTAATTGCTTAGCTACAGTACCCCACGTAGCTCGGCGAATAAACACGAACCACTTAGAAAAACATGGATTTTCGCTAGTCGCACAATTGGTTAACTAACTAATAGAGGTAATCGTCCAGGCAAACATCCGTCACCAGCGATTACGGTATTTGACGTTGTGCTAATGTCTAGGAGATTACGGTATTTGGGGAGATCAAGAATTTTGGGGGGGGGGGGGAAGGGAGGCATAGTTTATTTTTTTTTTCGGGTAAGCTGTGCTTACAGGATGGTAATCTTGATACTGTAATCCATGCTGATCCTTGTAGATTAGCCCAGCGTATGAATTAATGAAGGTGGTCATAAAATGAACTCCCAATTTCTAAATTAGTTGTACAAAAATTAGCACCTCATGAGCAAAACACCAAGAAAAAGTTGTATTTTTTGAGAACGTTCTATAATTCCTGCGTAAAAATACATTTTATGTCTGGCAAGTTGGGAAACTCTCCTTTCTTTGTACTTGGCTCTAAGCCCAAACGACAAACAGCAATTTCGAACTTAGGCAATCTGATTTGATAATCAAAGATGCAAGCTTCTGTATAAGTGTGTGTAATTTTACGTAGTTCTGTTTCGGTATAGGGCAAGGTCTGGGGCTCTACAAAGTGTCATTCCTGCACAAATTTCATTGTCGCTTCGAAGAAAAACGGGTTTCAGTCTTGAAAAAGATCAGCTCAATTTCACAAAACGCCCCATTTGATGCCTTCGAAGTTTTTGAAAAACTTGTGAATAAATTGGTGTCTACTACATCTGCAAGGCAAACTGTGAAGATCACTGCAAACGCTCACACTAATTATTTGCAGATTGGAGATTTAGAAAAAAAAGAAAAAAAAAGAAATCATGCAGTAGAGTAATGTCTAAATCAGGGCTCGGCACGAGCTGGCACCGGGGAAATTTCAAAACGAAGTTCCATTTGATCTTGAAAATTTCGTAAGAAGTTCCCTTTGATCTGTTTGAAGACCCGTCATTATTTTTAGATTATGTAAAAGTGTATAAGGGTTTTCATGCATGCTGATTTCATGGAACAACTTTTCACAGCTTTCTGAGCTTTTTCATGTATTTGAACCACATCTTGAAAAGCAGAAAAGCCGATTTTTCGACTGCGAAGCAGGCCGAGTAATTTTCGAATGGCTATAAAACGCTGTAAAGAAAACATTATGAAATTGTTTCTTCTCTGTATGTAAACTTTTACGGTGTAGATACATTTTATGTAGAAAAGTATGAAAACTTATGTGAGCAAAGTGTCAGTGCCAGCTTAGCTGGCACCCAGCTGGCACGGTGCCAGCTAAATCAGAAAAAAAGTTCAGCACAGCTTTCATTCACATAAGTTTTCATAAATTTTTGGGCCATAGTTCGGGTTCGCCTACGCGCATGCACACACCAAATTTGGTGTCATACTATTGCGTTTTGGCTGAAAACAACGCCTTTGTTTGTTTGGTGGGCAGCATGCCGGTGGCATGCCGGCGGCATTCTTGCGGTTCTTCTCCACCCGAACGCCGAAAAAAACGATATCCGCTTTGCTTTCCGCCCTAAAAACGATATCCAGCTTTACCCGGTGCCAGCTGTGCCGAGCCCTGGTCTAAATCTCCAATGCTGTCAAATATCACATATAAAACTTTGGTCAGCTGCATGCCTTACATAAATAAGCCTATTTGCCTTTTTTTTGTAGGCGTGAATGGGTTCAGTCAGTTCTGAACATGTAAATCAATCGATAAGATTCACTTCACCACTTTTTTTTTCAGATTAATGCTTACGCCCTGTCATGCGACTTCAGACTCATTTCTGTTCGAATTTTTAATATTTAGAAATTTCTGGAGCTGCGTTATCAAGTTGTGAGACTCCAAAACACCTTCACACTTATCATAACGTTCCTTTTCCTAGACCATTCTGAAGACTCTTGCTAGAGAGCCTCTTATCTACCGCTAGCCAGGTGTGCTCAGCTGAGCGAAACTTAGATTCACCTGCTACCGAAATCTCCCCTTTGTTTCATTACCCAAACTCATCGTCGAGATTTCATCACTGGAAGCTTTCATGCTGAGAAATCGACGAGGTCGAGGACGAATCGGAGCTTTGCGAGGCAACATCTGGCCCGAGCGAGCGCCTATGAGATGTTTTGAGTGATTGTCGCTTTTGTTCGAGGTGTATAAGCGCGATCGATAACGATCAATATTTATGCTGTCAATAAACAATATTTAGCAGGAGGTTCTAAAGCGCTGACTAGCTTCCCCTTGTTAATTGCGGGTAACTGCTAGGCAATCCGCGCTAGTAAATTCGACTGCATAAAAAACGCATAAAAGTCAAGGCCAAGCCATAGATTCATTGAAGTTTGACGTAAAATTACGGACATTATAGAGTTCCGTAGCGGTCATTCAAGTTCAAGTCGGTCAATGTAAACCGCCAGGCACTCAGTCCTCCTCAGTGCCGAGCAGATTGTCATGATTGTGCGTTGTTCCGAAAATGGCGACGACAGGTGGTCCTCACGCACATACACGGCAATATAGCGATGTGGTGTTTGTGTGTGTGGGTGCTACCGAGAGAGCTTGAGTGCTGAGGCTTATTTTTGGATAATAATTGGGGTAGGAATTGATTTATGGATGCCGCGGTGCTTCCACCTATTAGCAGAAATGTCCACGCATTTTGAATGTCAAAAGCATATGCAACTTTTTTAACCTTCCTTCCCTAATAGGCCCATTTCTCTCCTTTTTGGCTTATAACCCGGAGAGGACCACTTGGTGCTGGTGGTAGGGAAGATAAATTTAGTTTGCCATTCAACAGAAATAAACAGCTACACTAACCCACCGTACTCCCATGTGGTAGCTAATTTCCGCATTAAATGTTGGTGTCAGAATCTGTTGGGAATGCATTGCTCTTGCTTGGTCCTCACCAAAAGTTAAGCATTAGAGTATTTCTACCGTACTTCTCAAGCTTGTAATTATATTCCTGGAATTCAGATGGTTAGTGCTCGAATGTGGTAAAGAAATCCTGTTAGTTTCCAGTAAGATTGAGCTGCTGTCGTAATCTTACCGTAGTCCCATGCATAAAACTCTGAATTTCCAAAGGAACCAGGAGCTGATGATAGGAATATGACTTAGTAGAGCCAGTTTAAAGCACAAGTAGGCAGCTACAGTAAGCTTACCGTAATGCCCACGTATGTAATCCCAGAATTCAGAAGCTTGATGGATAGGATGGTAGGGAAAGCATTGAGAGTGTAAGCAGCAAGATCAAGCAGTCAGTAACTACCGTACTCCTCATCGTATGTAGTCACAGTCAGAAGTTTGGTTCTGAAAATTGTTAGAAATGCGTGGACAACGCTATTTTCGAGCAAAGATAAGCAGTTACAGTAATCTTACCGTAGTTTTCGTGTTTGTGATTCTAGGATTGAGAAATTTGCTTATCGAAGCGATGGGGTGCGATACACAAAAGCGCAAATCCTCCAACAATTTGGCACTTACAGTAAGCCTACAGTATCCCAAACTGGTGCATTTGCCCATGTGGATAGTAAAAATTCCATTCGGTGCGACACCAGTCCATCAATGTTGTCAAGTCTCAATTCCTCTAGGGCTTCCTGACTTCATTAATCAGGTTACAGCACTCTACCATAATCCTCATGGTTATTCATGATACCGAAATCCAAAAATTTAGCTTTAGAAACGATAGTTTTTGCGTTTTACAGAATGACAGAACACAGGTTGTATTGATTCGGTTTCTTGGCAGTCGATTTCTCCCCAAGTTCATCTCCTCCCCCCCTCCCCCCCACCCCCCACCACGCGCGAATTCTGACTACTTAGTTCAGTACCGCATCTTTCGCTGTTTTTCTCTATTACCCTTCTCAACTGACCCCAAATCTCCATATCGAATCTTTCGCGACTGTCTAGTACTCGGCTCCGGCTGAGCCTCGGGTATTGTCCACGGCAGCCGGCCGAGTGACCCCTCGATCCGTGGATCTCGTCGTTTTAGACACACGAGGCGCGCCAGGGCTCTAAAAGGCTCGCTTGACCCCTCCCACCTCTTCGCTGTGCTGCGTCGCGCTCTGCTGTCTCCTCCTCCGCCCCCTTCGTTCGCCTTCGGTTTTTCCTTACCGCGCCAACCTCTTCGTCGCTTCGGCCTGTAATCGCTGTGTGTGCTCGAAAATGCTTGCGCCGTCGTCGTATGCCAATTCTCAGGACGTCAACTACCCACCGTTGTCACAGGTACTGATATTTTAAGGTGATTACGGTAAGGTTACGGCATGGCTACCGTAACGCCTATCGTCTGTATTAAATCTGGATTCAAATTCAAAAGCGCTATCTGACCTTGTTGCCCCTCATTGATCATTTCTTTGGGTTATAGCTGTCGATATGAAACCTTTTTGTATAGCGTTACGGTAGGATTACTGTATCATTGTCATTTTTGTTGCCTATTCGTTCAGCTCCTTACTGGTCGCAATATTTTTGTCTTGCACTGTTGCGCTAAATTCACTATAGTTTCCTTGCCAACGATGCCAATTTCTCCTTTGAGTTGGCCTTTCCCAAATTTATAAAATGTCTCTATTTTTTATACTCTTATTTTCCCAATCGAACGGCGCTCTTCAGTAGATTGGAGCCGTTTTTTTTCGCTTTTGAGCACTTTTCTCCTTGAATTTGATTTTCATAGATAACACACGCTGTTTGTTTCTCCTACATCGACTACTCAAAAATCTAAATTTTTACCTCCTCCCCCCTCCCCGCTCCTTCCCCCTTCATCCTTTCTTCCCCATCCTCATTTCTTAGGCTTTTCCATCTCCCCCATTTTTTTTCGAAATCTCAACTGACGCGCTTTTCAACAGCGCGTGCTTGCACTCTCCCTCCCTCCCCCCCCCCGGCTACCGTAATCCTCGTTCGTGTTCCGCACGCTATGATCTCGTTTCTTTGTGTAGTGCATATAGCCATGCCACGTAGCCCCGTGAATGTGCTGCCGCTTGACACGACAGTGTCATTAATCGATCAATAATCCTAGAAAATCTCCATACATAATGCACTGAGGCTGCGTGGGTGTGGATTAAACGGGTAGCGTGCTTTTTTTGAATCTGTGGGTTTTGAATGCATATTTTTCGCACTAAGTCTAGGAGAAAGCGATCAACAAAGCGTGGAACATTAAAAGAAATTTTAAACCTGTTTCGTTGCAAATTTTTAGTTAAAAATTCACGACCGCGGAGGTCATTTTTCCAGATTCGAATGTCAGCTTGTATATCCAGTATGTTCATGGTTATCTAAGGAATTCTCCTTTTTGTCGTCCTCCTCGGTATGAATCATAAGCTATGTTTTGTTTCATTAGGCTAACAATATTCTGAAAAACAAGAAGAAATTAAGCTTTCTATGAATCTTTATTGTTATTCATAATATTGGTAGCACACAAATTGTAGCTCATCACTTTTTTGTTTTTTTTTTCATGAATAAAACTCTGATAACGAATCCATGCTTGGAATGATGTTGATTTTGAAGCAACGCAGAGTAGTCATTTCCACTTTCTATTCCTTTTCTTCTTTGATCTGAGAGCATTCTCACCTAGAATCAAAATGCCAATTATGGTTCCATTTACGCTCCTCTAATTTTTACATCTGAAGCTGAACGGCATTATAACTTTATTGATTTTTGCAATAGAACTAATTCGGGTTACGGTAGATACTCGGGAGGAACACCGATAAGAGTTCATCGAGTTCAGAAAAAAATGTATTGAATGATGAGAAGATGCAGTTTTTGAGTCTAGGATTCAAAAACCTTTACATTACATCTCGTTCACTCTTTTAACACCCATTGGACCCAAATCAATCTTCTTCTCATTTTTTCCAGATTTTCTGGACAGTGTTTTCCAAAAGTAGTTTTCTTTATTGAACATATCATTATCCTTGTTTTTATCTCTATATCTGTGTCTTACACTTCTAATGCGCCGTAAGAATAGAATAAACACAATTATAAAAATACCCTTGAGCTCCGAAAAAAAATTTTTTCCTGCTTCAAATATCGCTTCCTCCTGTAACAAAGGTTATCAAAAAATAGGGGGTTGAAAGAACAAAGAAAGTGATATAGGGGAACGCTGAAGTCTGAATCTCGCATATCTTCTTATCCAGCCAACGTTCAAATTTTCTGGATTACTGTATCAACCCTATGCGGTCTCCTTGATCAATCACCCGCTGTGTATGATGACTCGTGCTATTGCCTGAGGAACATCTTCAGTATCTTCAGTCTCTCCAATCAATCGATTCACGGCAACTCGTAAAGATTCGCCGCTTTGCCGTTGGCATAGAATACGGTACTCATTAGTCAGTGCCTGAAGTGAGAATAGCAAAGAGTGCGAACCGAGCGGGAGAGGGGGCATAACACCCTTGTTTCGCGCCTTCATTCTGCTAAGCGTGAAAATTTAGCGCTCTTTTTGAAGAAGCCGATTGGAGGGGGGGGGGGGGTGATTTGTCAATGAGGTGCGAGCTTGTTAGAGCTGTGGAATGCCAAGTGCCAATTTTCTGGAAAAGTTTGTGCTTTCGAAGTCATTCTCATCCTCTTTTCCACCGCCTTACTTTTAGTGGCCTCTCTCTCTCAATTGAGCTCTTTCTTGAGCCCAAAGTATAGCTCCTGTTCATCCATACATCTATTTTTCATTATATCTGATATTTTTAGATCCGTGAGGAAAAACCTGGTCCAATGACGGCTCCGTACGACTATTCAGCGTACTCGGCTATGGATCCTCATGTCTTACAAATGGCAGACATTGGCGCTGGATACTGGGGTGCAGGTTATTTCTGCTTAAAATTTTTTTACATTCTTTCCAAAAAGCCATTTCAAAAATATTTTTCAAACGATCGATAACACAAAATTTCTAGGCGCTCCTCCCTATGCTCCACTTGGTGGTTTACCTCATTACCCGCCTTTATCCGCTGGTACCGAAACCGACTATGCTGCTTCGGCCCCGACGGCTTACCCAACACCGGTGGTACCACCGGTCTCCTCATCAAGTGGTACTGGATCTTCGGATGTTTTGGAGATCGGGAAGGTAGGTGTGCAATGAAGAATTTTATCAAAGAATAACAATAACAAATACAAAACTTTAATTTCGAATGGAATTAATAAGGCAGTGCTGTACCAGTCTTTTATTTTACTTGAATTTGCATAAAAAAAAGACAATTGCTCTTTGAATTTCTTGAAAATAAGAAAATTCACTACCTTTTTTTTCGTAGATAGTCTTATCGGGTTTTCTTCAATAGGCTCTTCAGCTACCCTTGCAAAAATGTTTCTAATAAAAAATGTCTTCAGTTTCTCCCTAAATTTAAAATCGCAGCTGAAAATTATGCATAGTTGCTGATCTTCAAAAATTAGTTAACTGGATTCATCTAATAGTTTTGAATTTATTTTAATTTGGATATTGAAAAGTCTTAAAAAATGCGATTTTCATAATCCTGAGGTTCATGTTTCTTTATTTGAAAATGACTTTAAAGTGACTTCTTACCTAGATCGTAATGAATTTTGGATGCAAAATCCGATGTCGGGACTTTTTTTTGCTGTTTTATTTTTATCTCAATAATTCCTGTTTGTACAAATCTATATGAAGTCCACGCATAAGTGTGAGATGTTTGTCTTCTCCGAAATCTAATATTTGGATTTAAGGGTTAAATTTGAATTTTTGGATTATCGATTGAATTCGGTTGCAATATTCAGTAAAAACATGCGGAAAGCTGTGTAAACTGATGGAGGAGAAGCCTCCATAAAAGTTAAAAATTATTTTCAACAGTTTTCATCGGGAAAGTCTAACAAATGAATGGCTTCTTTCGAACGGAGAGATACTCCTAAAAAATGATTTTTTCAGTCAAACGTCCAACCTTACGCCAGTCAAGTCGCAAATCCCGTGGTTTCTAGTGATGCACTCTCGGCCATGTACCAGCCGCCCACTGTTTGGCCTGGATATCCCGGATATATGGTAGGGCTGTTTGATCCTCTTTGTCCTTATTTGTCTACGATTATCGATTGGTTTCTCCCCGAGCAAAATCGACTTTGCGTTGGATTTAGGGATGCTCAGCAAACTTAAAAGGCGCGCCGCAATGCAGTGAAATCCAGCGTCTCACTTTACGCACTCGCACTCCCCTCTGATTAGAGCGACTTAAGTACGCAATTTTGCGTTTGACACACCGCCTCAGCGAGCGCAAGCGATGACTATCTTGATCGCTCAATTGGTAGCAATGCTCATTCACAAGGTTGACACTTGAGTGAGTCAGCAAAGGGACTGAGACTGACCCTGACTGGACCATCTGTTAGCTGTCATTTCGCTATGAAATGCGGCTCGTAAACGATTTTGATCACTTCGGCGGGGAATGGGGAAGGGAAGGGTTTGTTTCACACAAATCGGGATTTTAATAGGTTTCGGGATGTTCGTGAGACCAGCAAGGAGTGGGGGCAGGAAATGAGGTCTTTTTTGATTTAGGGGTTGTATGAGAGGATAAAAAGCCTTTACTAGTTCAATTTTTTCTGTATTTTTACAAATTTTTCAATAAGTCAAACCCAAAGCTCTCTTTATGAGGCGGCGGCTCCAGTCATGTTCTAAATTTTTAGAGCTTTATGCGATCTAGATATTTCTGATGGGGGAAATGGTTCTTGCAATGTTTTGAGTAAAATTTGATGTTTTGTTTGTACTCCTACCCAATTTTCCTCTTCCTCAAATTTTCCTTTTTGCAATTTTGAGAAAAAAATGCTGCGTGTAATACCCATAGCATTTTTGGACGCCCAAAGCTTGTTCGATCGTGTCCAAGTCTTTGAAGAATTTTTTTCCGTTTTGGACATTTCCAGGCGGGGAAGGAGCAGGAGGAGCGAGAATCCAAAGATTTCTGGGATTTTTAGAAAATTTCTTTTATGATATTTGAAATTGAAATTGTCGAACCAAAACTTCTTTGGGCTAGGGGTTTGGACGTGAGGTTTTGAGTATGTCAAAGCTTAGTAGACATTTCTGGAATCGTAGTAAGGATTGCTCAAAAACTACGCGAAATTTCTGGAATTTTTTTTTGCCTGTGTGGTTTCAAATGTGATTTCCGCTTTTTTTAGCAGATTCTCTTCCCTAATTGCTATTTACACCTTTACAGGCACCTGATGACAAAGCGGCAACTACACCTGGTGCATCTAGCGCCTACCCTACGCTTCCGTTACCGTATGCCTTTCCGGATGGTTCAGACCTCGGGCATACCTCTTTCTACCCAACTCAGGTAGCTTCCTCGACAACTTCTATTTTTGGCCCCGTGCCAAGGCCACTGGGCCACGCAAGTTTGTGCATACATTATCGCCGAGTAAATCCTCGGTTCTTTGATGAGTAGCGGGTGTTGAATAACAGTCTAGATGAAGTGGTCCCTAAGACTTGCTCGGCGGGGTCAACGCATCAAAGGCCTTGCCGTCGTTCTCGGGGCGATGATCAGCGTATAAACAGGGTCTTGTAAATCATAATCCGCCCGCCTTATTCGAACGAGACGCGGGCGCACGCTCGGCACGGGCGCGGGGCCCCGCCGAAAGAGAAAGAACGGCCTTGACGACACGCCCCGTCTACAAAGACAATGGCGCGTGCAGCGCGGCACACACACGCACTATAGATATCTCCTATAAAGACTTGCTATGTCTATCTATGTGTCGAGGATTACGGTAGAGAATGAGCACTGCGGCTGGTCATTGGATGGGCAAAAAAGAGGGCGAGGAGTTTTTTCGAGTTTCCTCTTTGTAAGCGCTAATATGGGCTTGGTGGACGCGTGCAACGTGCTGTTTTTTTTATTGCAAGGCTTTTTCTATAGGGCAATGGAGAGAGCAGAGCGGTGAATTGCAAATGTGGTTTTTCTCAAAGGGTTGTAACAACAATTACTGTGATTTCGGAGTACACTAGCTTTCTGAGAGATTTCATCATTTTGTTACTCTGATTTTGGCAGGCTTTTAAGGTATCCAAAGATCAAGGATCCTACTGAAATCCTCTCGGAAAGGTTCCAATTGAACTATCAAATCATACTGAACATTTGTAAATTTGATGATGTCTCCCAGAAAAAGAAAAGGCTTTTGGACATTTTGCAGGAATACCGTGGTTTTGTGTTCCATCTCATCGGAAAATAGGTCTTAAGTAAAAACTGCATGATTTTATATGCAAATTGAGAGATGTGAATAAAAGTCAGGGAAAAAAATTACATTTTTTTTCTTAAGTGTCATCTCGCTTGTGTTACTGTATCAAAGTTTCCCAACGATGGTTATCTGCATGAGGAAGATTACGGTAGATCACAGAAATTAAATGGTGATGTTCGTGCAGTAGTTTTGATTCAATCTTCTACTGGCAAAAAAAAAATCGTTCTGCCTACTTAACACTCCGACTTGTGGATGTCCTTAAGACGCTAACTCACAGAATCTTTTTTTTTTGAAATTAAATTCGTCTACCATAGCTCACAGGTCTGTTTTTGTTAGATTCCCTCATGGAGGTTGGAAAAGTTACTTGAAATCAATCAGACGAAAATTGTTGGAAGATTTTGATGGATACATTTTGAGCACAATCTCATCAATTTGTCTCATTTTTAAAAATTCCATTACTTTTTATATCTAGGTTCTATAAAGCAACTTTCAACAATGCAAATCACCTTTTTTCGTCGGCACATCTAGTTGCCCATCCCTCCCCAACAAACTACCAATTTGCCCTAACTACTGGCCCACCATAGCTACCACATAGAAGGGCCATAGAGGGGAACGAGAGAGCGAGGGAGAGAACATCTGCGCTGGGCGATTGCCATTGTCTTGCAAATCCGCATGCGCTCGCTCTCTGCTGGACGGTGGAACGACACTCAGTTCGAAGAAGCGTGAATGGGGCCTCGTTTTTAACGATCCTGTTCATCGCTAACGGGACAACAGTGACTATATCACCACTTTGATTCATATGGAAATGAGAGTGAATTGAGCGAAAGTTTGGGAGGTAGCAGGAGGAGGGGGCAAGGAGGGAGAAATTTTGATGTGGAGGTGGTGATGGGTGGATAACCAAATCCGATGACGTGAATTCGCATGGAAATAACTAGCTCGAATTCGGAAATTCTGTGGAAGCCTGTTGGTTACGGTAGTGTTAGAACCTGTTAAGGTTAGCATGTACTTGTTACGGTAGATCAACATGTTACGGTAGTGTCAGTCCTATTGCGGTAGTGCGAGTCAGTATTGTTACGGTAATTCAAAATGTTGCGGTAGGTCACTTGTTACGATGGTGTCAGAAGTTGTCAGGTGTCACTGATTAAGATAGTCGGTATACTGTAAGCATTTTTAGGAGATTAGGCCCAGAAAAATAATCTTTTCGTTACCCATTTTATTTGCATTCTGCATTTTACCTTACCATATTTTGTTCACTTCTGTAACTTATTGGTTACGGTAGTTGTCACAATCTGTTACGCCCGGTAGTGTGGACGGTAGTTGGTATACTGTAAGCGCAAGAATTTGACCACTAATGGTTTCGATGATGTTTTACCCCTATTTCATTTTTCTTTGATTTTAGCAATCGAAATAATTTTCTTTGTTTTAGTCTACCCTCTCCGACACTCCCTCATCTACCGACACTGGTTATGCGTCGCATTGCTTACCACCAGCTCAAGTCTCACCTTCACCTGCACATTTCGACTACTCCGTTATGCAACAGGCTCCATCTGGCTCCAGCCTGTAGGTTACCCGGTTCACCGCTTACCCTTCTGATAAATTAACCCCGTACCTCCAGATCCCTACCCATTCGACCATCGTCAAAACGATCATCGAAGAAGATTCGGGGTGAGTCCGATGACGACACAAAATCTGGCGATGAACGAGATGTTGACCGACGATCCGCGAACAATGCTCGAGAAAGGTAAGAGCACAGTGTCACAATTGCCACTTTTGTTTATTGTTTACCACTTTTTATTGATCGATTTCCGGTAGTTTATGTATGGTTGTACTCTTAGTTTGTAGTGTAGTGTTTATGACCATTCAAGGGTCACAGCACCCCCTCCCCCTCCAGAGCATCCGAGTTTGAGCAGGAGATTAGAATCGGATCTAACCACCCTTAGCCCACCACTCAGAGCTGCACTGTATATACATAGATGGCGTAATACAAAGCGACATCGCGTGTTCTAATGGCCTAAATGGGAAGAAAGGAAAGGGGGAGGGGAGTGGGCTTTGGGGCAGGGTCAGAAAAGAATAAAGGAAACGCTGGGTAAGGGGATTTATGAGGAAGACAAAACAGCATGACAGGATTGTCTCATAGAGGAAGTTTGTGCTCAAATATCATAGAATTTTTGGAGAAACGGCTTCTAGGAATCACCCTGTTGATTTCCTGTTTTTTCATTCATTTCAATTCTGGAGAAGTCAAAAGGAAAAAGTAAAAACCAGGATATTTGACTTTTGAAATGTGGTCCTGCAACGGCGGCAACGTCTGCTTTTAACAAATGACTACAAGTGCTCTATTTCGTTTTGCGCTCCATAGACATTTTTTAGGAACAAATAGGAATTTTATCTGTCCTGTTTTTCATTCGTTTTGTTCTACAAAACTGTAAAGAAGAAAGTGAAGTACATGCCAATAGAGTTGACGGCTATCATAAAGTCCTGCGGTGACGACAACATTTGCGCGTAAGAGATAGGAAAGAACTATTATTCTCATTTCTGTTATTCATGGTTTTTACGCGCGAACATCCTCTACAACTTACGAGAAATTAGTAATCCTTATATCTTCTAGAATGTGAGACTGTGCTAATGACAAAAAATTTAGAGGTCTTAGCATTTTTGCCTTGTCAGAGAAATTCGAATAATATGCTCGCTTTCTTAAGATTCCTGGAATTTTGGGGATTAGTTTTCGTTATTTTGCGGCTTCTAGTTTGTCACTTTTTCAATGTCCTTTGCTCTGTCGAGCCAAATTTTTCCATAAACTGCAACCCAAATATCCCGTTTACCGTACACCTAGCGTATTTTTACTTTCGCTCATCAATGCATAGTGATATATGTTCTGCTTTTCCATAGCTCACGCCAATAATCACTATTTTGAGTGACAAATTCATTTTTCCACATTTTAGTTCTTTGATTCGTCCATTTACCTCAACTATCCTAAAACTGACCTACCGTATCACTTCCTACCCTAACTGTGCAAAATGGCGAATTTTTGCACTTTCCCATAGCTCACGTCAATATCCCCAGGATTAACTCATTTTCCCAACTTTCCAATATTCCTAATACGTATAATTGCCACAAAAATGTCACATCTCACGACGTTAACACATCCGCTTGACATGAGCGTGTCATGACACCGAGCCGTAAATCCGTCACTGCCATGCGTTGCCACAGTTCTCCACGACGACGTAATACGATTAACTACGGGGCATCGTTACGCGGGTGCGGAACGGGCTCGCGGGATTTACGGGTTTTTGTTCGCATTTTATGGTTTTGTGCCTGAGAACGCCGGACGCTCACGTCTTAGGCTGGGATTGTGTGGTTATTGTGCGCGGGTTTCTTTCTTCGAAGCATATTAGAACACCATTGAGGAGGAATTATTGATTTTTTCACAAAGGTTTCCCAAAAAGCTATTGGTTTTTGTCTCATAGGGTCTAAAAATAGCTTTTTCTGGACAGTTTCCGTCACTACTTTTACCCTAGCAGATTTGACGGTAATATAGTGTTTTTGCGGTGAAGACAACATTTGCGCGTAAACATTGTCAATTGCGCTCTTTGACCATTTCTTCAACCCGGAATTCGCGAGCAAGTCGCCGGCATTCACAAGCATGACATTTGTTTTCGCGCAAACGTTGTCATCACTACAAGGATCCTACCTATCGCCGAATTTACTGTTCTGTAATTGGTCATAAAGATAGTAGATAAGGCTTATGGTCGGTGCAGGAAGTGCAGGTAACATCTGGCCCTTGCGTCACCCTACAGTAGGATTCCAAGGATACTCTAATTAATGACTTTCAGTGGATTAATGCGTTAGGCAAAGGATATGCCAAAATTTTAAAGGTAATTAGCAAAAACCCGAAGTGAGGTGACCCCGTAAGGTGCTAATTGAAGATCTATAATTGAAGAGCGGCTTATAACACCATATGGTCGCACATTAGGAAGGGGGGGGGGGCTAACCTGGTTCGGGTAGGGTAAAAATTAGGTATTTTTGTGATGCCCCAAAAATACCAGTTTAAGGGTTTGCTGAAGTCTAAACATGTTCCGCGGATTATTCATGTTCAGTGTGTAAAACCTAGCCCTTTGTCACTAATTTGTGAATTTACACACAGTACGCGACATCGCACGACTTCGTTAGCTTTATTACCTTTTCTATGAAAGAACTGTAAGGGAATAAGTTAATCTATTTCCAATTACTTATCAGGAGACATGAACTAAGAAGTCCCTGTAGGTTGGCTGGCAGCTTGCCAGCACACAATCCGTGAGATGCCGCGCGTGGTGTGCAATTCACACACTCATGATTTTCATAGTAATGAATCAAATGGACACAGGAATGTCCCCGAATAAGTTGAAAAGTTTTTGTGAAGCGAGAGGCTTGATAATTTGTCAGTCGAATTTGGGATTATTGACTGTTTTCGAACTTTACAAAAACTGAGTTGTCCTGCGGAAAAACTTTTTTTAATTCAAAACCTCAGGGCTGCGAACTTTAAAAATTCGGGAGCTCTGTTTTTTTTAGATTCACAACTTTTCAATCCATAAACAATTGAGTATATGATGACCACTTCAATGATGAGCTCTCGCTCTTTGTCCTACTACAACATATTTCTAAAAAGTCAATACACTGGGTTTAAAATTTCAAAATTCCCTCTGAATTCTTTTTCATTCCAGGGTTCGTGTTCGTGACATCAACACTGCGTTCAAAGAGTTGGGTAAAATGTGTGGACAACATCTTCCGAATGCATCCGAAAAAGCGCAGACAAAGCTTGGAATCCTGCATCAAGCTGTCTCCATCATCACTGCTTTGGAGGAGCAGGTAACGGTAGATTCACTTTCTCTATATCTATCAATATATTTCCTGATATTTTGAAGTATTTATTGATTTTATTGATTTGAGGTTCGACAACGTAATCTGAACCCTAAGGCGGCATGCATGAAGCGACGATCCGATGAAGAGAAGCTGCCCACAAGGTAAACCATGCGAATCAATCGATTTATCTCTAATTTTCAAGATTCCTCCCCCTCCCCCAAATAAAATTTCTTTTTCAGCGCTCTTATGGAACAACGACCACATTCGCACGAGTATCAAGGTCAATACTAGCTTATCACGCGCTTCGATACCGTATCCTCCGCGTCGCCTACCGCTACCATATGCTACCGTATCCCCCTCAAACTTTTACCATGATAATAAAATTCGTCGAGATGCCTGGGTCCCTTCTCTTCGGATCCTGCGAGCGAGTGTTTGTGTGCTAATCCCATAATCCACATTTTCTTGATTGTTCAATCTTCGATCTGTGCTTTTTCTAGAGAGATTTTTTCTCTGTTTATTTTTTTCTGTGATTTGTGTGCGTAATATATGGTTTTTGAGCTCTCAACTGGCTATGCCTAATTGTGAAAATAGATAGTAAATTTTGCAACTGTGCAAAACGCCGTAAAAAACCTAGAAGGCTGAGAAAAGCCTTACCTCCATGAAAGCTTATCACTTTTACCACTTTCTTTTTTCATTTTCTGTCATTGCTTCCTCTTTTTTTACCGTTCAGACTCAGATAAATTACAAGTATTAACACCAATATGTGTAAAAACCATATCTGCTTTTTCTCCCTATTTTTCCTTCTTATGTCTAACTCTCGGCGATTCTTCTGTCTTTATTCAAGTGTCTTCAATACATAGGTCCATTGTGTGGCATCTAACGCGCTGTGCATCATATTTGCTTTTGATTTTACATTACAGAAAATTTTTGTTGTATCTTCAATAAAGTATTTGTTCAAATGTTCTGCAACTGTGTTATAATGGAATAATTTAGGCATTCTGCGTGGAATATATTACAAGCCTACTCAAGTAACGAACCAAAAAACGGGAGTTAATATTATTGGGAATGGTGGAAGAGAAAGCTCAAAGAAAGCATCATGTCAAGGGTTTTTTCTTACGAAGAGTAATTTGTTTTTTCAAAACCGATATGATAAACAATGGCACACTTGGAAGTTTGTTTGCAAACATCACGCCAGTTTCATGGCTATTTGTGAAAATAGATAGCAAAACTTGAAATTGTGCAAAATGTCGAAGAAAGGCAGAAGGCTGGAAAAAGGCCTTACTCCATGAAAGCTCATCACTTTTGCCACTTTTTCTTTTCATTTTTCTCTCATCTTTCCTCCATTCTACTGTCCGAACTGAAACCTTGTGAAACTGCTCAAGTCTTCAGCAAGGTACCTAAGTAGATGTACTGTATGTTTGTAATTAATATTGTGCTGCTCTTTTATTCAAAAGATCTTATAACTTGTATTTCTTCGGTGTTGATTATTTTCACTCCAATTTCTAAGTGAAGGAGAATACACCAGCGGGAGAGAAGAATTAACAACTACTTTTCATTACGTTTGGGTGGCAGTGGGAGAATTAATGGGGTTATTTTTGTCACAAAGGCTAAGTTATTGGAGTAAGTGTTAGAAATCAAGACCGAGAAAAACCAAAAGTACAAATACCTTTATTGTGCTTGTCCATTCTCTTAACACATTGACGACAAGGCCGATTTTTCGATTACTGCCATTTCGGACAGAAGCCTTTTTTGCTCTGCCAAACTTACGACCCACCCGTGGGTCGTATTGTCCGAAATGGTAGTCTTTTTGGAAGAAATTCAGAACATGTCTCCGAGAATTTCCCCCACAAGGGTTTTCGAACGCGCTGATTACCAAAATATGATTTATTTCAGTTTTTGGCGTTATACGGTAAGGTTACGGTAGTCATTCTGTACGAACCCAACATCATGGATTTTCATGAAAATTTGTGTATTGAGGTTATTTCACGTGCTGATCACGATTATAGTGTCCACTTTGTTCACTACATTCTCACGGTGAGACTACGGTAGCAGTACGGTAGAATTTTCGTAGAAATCAAGAAAATGATGTTAGAAGGTGGTATCAAAACTTGAGACTATCATTTTCGTAATCAGCATGCTACAAAACCCTATATATGCAAAGTTCGAGCTTCCTAGGATGAAAAATGCAAAAAATCAATAAAGTCAATGAAATCGATAATTTTTTGATGGGCTAAGGTCAGCCTCTTGCCCGCCCCGTATTACTCTTACATGTAAACTTGATTCTCCAGAAACAGCGTCATTTTAAGAAGAATTTGAGCTAAAGCTTGTGCCTTATATATATCTACCGTATACTCACCGTAACATTACATTACATTACCCCGAGCCCGGACCACTCTGGCTGGAGCTTCACCTAAGTGCCCCCAATCAGGTGCCAGAACCCCGTAGAATTCCGTCGTAAACTGGCAAGGACAGCGCTTCATGAATCTTACGACCCACCGGTGGGTCGTATTGTCCGAAATGGCAGGATCCGTACGACCCACCGGTGGGTCGTATTGTCGTCAATGTGTTAAGTATTTCAATGCGACTACAAACAGTGATGGAGGAATGAAGTTTTTCGATTATTCGAGTGTAGGTTGTATCCTTTAAAAGCCCACAATGCTGTTCCTCACTGTGCTAGATTACATGAATACCGCGCAAAGCTACTAAATTTCAACTTCTACAAGTTTTCTACAATGCTTCAGCCAAACATGGAGTGAAACACAAATCGGTGCATGCGCTTCGGCAAAAGCAATTACCCACTGACAGCTGAATATCTCTCATAATCGAAATCCAATTAGCGCAAGCCTTCGTGTATTCGCACACATCGCCAAACATAGAAAGAGATGTTAAGCTGACGAGGGGGGGGAGGGATGAAAGTTGAGAGAATTTTCAAAAAAAAGAATCTAAAAATAGATTATAAAATAGCTTGAATAGCGTATAAAGAGTTATAAGCGATTTGTTTACATGAAAAGCTGTGCCCTTTTTGGCACTGTAGCCGCGCCGCAAGCGCTCGCGTGGCAAATTCAGCCCTACAATGTCATTTTGAACACACGTGCCCTAGGCCTTGATCTGCACATCTTTATGGCCACTAATTTCAACAAGTCACAAAAGATCGTAGATTGCTTTCCGTACGAGTTCGAGCATAGCTGGACTTGACATAATTTCCATATGTTCGCCTCCGGGGAGTTCGTGCGTCGTTACCTGAAAGAATACGGGTGACTGATTTTTGGGTTAAAGAAGAACTTTGAAATAGTCCAAACTTACCCGTTTTCCTTTATTATTGGATTCGTTCCATCGCAAGCACACTTCTGCTGAACGGCGATTTACCGTACCATCACCGTCACCGTATGCGATCAACGGTGGATAGTCGGGGAAATAGCCCTTTGCCCAGCTGAACTGCTCGGCTGTATCTATGCCTGTTCCATAGATGCAGTGAAGCTGAAGGAGTTCGCATTTCCTCGATGAAGATTAGAAAAACAAATTTAAGCACCTGCACTCCCGGAGGATCCAACTTGCCATTCATTTGGCCTGCAACCTTGTACTGTTCGTATCCTGTGGTGTAGTTGATGTCTTTGAAAAACTCCTCCACATTTGCTAGCTGAAAGAGATTCTTTTAAGCTATTTAAGCTTTTATACATTGATTCCACTTATGCCTGTTTTTATAATCTACTTGCATAGATCAATAAATTTGAGAATCAATTTCAAATTTGTAAACGCTCGAAAAGCCGAACTTATCATGTCTAATAGTGTTTTCAGAAACTTCTAATTTATAACTATTGCTTAGTTACTCCACAAACGATCATGGGTAATTGAACATCCAATTGAAAATCTATAAAAATGACCATAACTATTAGGTTTTCCGTTGTCGTACCTCTTCTTTAGAGATTCGTAATCTCTTCTGTTTTCGACAAATCAGAATGTAATTTTCACATGATAAATGTGACAAAAAGAGAAAATGTATTTTAGGCTAGGATTAGGATAATATGACCTTAAAGAAAAGTTTTCGTAGACAATATGGGCATAACTCCAGTGCTAATGCCGAATATTTCTAAATCGAACCGCTTCTGGGCAAGGCTCGGCAGAGCTGGGTATCGTTTTGGAATACAAAGTAAGGGGGCATCGTTTACGAAAACCGTAGCCCCCCCCCCCCATCTTCCTCTTACAATCACTTTCTCCCTCTTATGTCACCCTTCATCTTTATTACAGGACGCAAATTGTCATTTCTGCCTTATCGATCTGCAAAAACCAAAAATTTCCTGTTTCAATATGTTCGCCGGTTGAGCGCGCGAAATCAAACCTGCCTCGAAATAAACAATAGAGTTGTTTACAGCGAAGAGAAAATGAAATGACACCAAGAAGTGGTGTGTAGATGGGCAAAAGGGAGTTAGGACCATGTGCGAAACATTATGAAAAAAATTATGTGAGCTGAAGGAGTGGCAAACTTTTTTCGGAGTTAGGTGGTTTTCCAGCCACCTGGACAGCCACCTGAAGTGGCTGTGAAAAGAAAAAATCATAAATTTTCTTCCTTTCTCATAACTTTTTACATGTTCAACATATGTTTGTTCTACATCAAAAACCCTACAAGTAAGTTCTTAGATTCCCCTTAACCCCCTATTCCTCGCCTAGTTACGGCCCTCCAAATATTTTTTATGGCGGCGGCAAGCCTGCTCCAAGCGCGCAAGGGTGCGCGCCGGACACACATGCCGCCATTTTGGATAATACGAACATTTTTTATCCTCTTTCGCCTATTCAATGTTGTTTTTATGTTTTGTTGCGTTATTTTTCGTGATTCGTTTTGATATATTCATGATTATAGATGATGTCGTATTTTAGTGGCGAAATTTACGGAGACTTCGTTTTTGAAAAACTGAAAGCCACCTAATGCCTAGCCCTGCTTCTGGGTGAAAAGACAACATGTTTTGAATGGAGTTGCAAGATTTTCGGTTTTCATTATCGCAAGTGAACCAGTGCAATCTGCAATACAAGCAGCATTTTTCGTGACATAAAGACACAAGGATGCGATATTCTGAACTGAGAATACAAATTTTAAACATGGCAGGTTTTTAGTAGTGAAATATTTTTTGCCACATCATTTCAATGATATCGCTTAAGAAATCCAAGCTACTTACCGTGTAGTTCTTCTCGAACGTACTGGCCAAAACTTCAGTATCATTCCAGACCGCATAACTCGGAAATAGGAACGCTGATGACGTAAACGATCTAAAAAATATATTTTTCTTATGAATGATGCTCAAGCATGTGTCCTTACCTCTGCATAGGTCTCAGTTTGCTCGGTGGCAAAATTACCCTATAGTAATTCATGTTATATCCCGATGCGAAAACTCGGACGATTTGCATAGCTCCACCCCATGGAGCAGCTATCGATATATGTGACTGTATGTATTTGTCTTTCCATTCCTGAAAACACATCTTTTGTCTCAAAAATGAAAGAATGTGTAATATGAGCTCACCTGGTCAACGATGTTATGGTAGAAGTACAGCATAACGACATTACCCATGCTGTGAGCTATGGTTACAATCTTCTTATGTTTATGATAACGATAGGTTGTCTCTATAGAGACCTTTAAAGCGTCAAAGTAGAGATGAAGCTCATCTTAAAATAAATGGTTAAGACTACCAAAGAAAAGATGGTCTTTATGCAGTGTCAGAGAAATTTGCTTCAGATGACAAACAAAAATAGTTCTTCGAATTCGTTATCAGCAACGTCCAGAGTCGCCTGTGTGCCGAGGTGTGCCAGCACCGTGCCAGCGCCGTTTCGGCAACCGAGTGAAGAAGCCTGCATTGATCGATCAATGCTTCGACGCAGTGCTAGCGCGGCACTGACATGGCGCTCCTGGCACCGTATCGGAATGTTGATCGATCATTAAGGAGTGCACTTGCGTACAGCACGGTGCTGGGACTTCGTTGGTATGGCACTCACACGAATAACCCTGAACGCAGCCTCAAAATTTCATTTGACACCTCATTTCATGCTCTCAGTGAGATTGTACGAATGAGGAAAACAAAAACTAGACCGTCTCTGACTTGGTGCCCGGCGCCAATCGTATGGCGCACCCTGAAGAGTTTTACCACGAGTATAACCCCATGATGTCATCATGTCTACAAGTGTAGCAAAGTAGGAACCGGGTGAAGCCTGAAAATGGACATTGGTGAGTGTTGTGGAAAAAATTCTTGTAGTAGTAAATAACAGCTACTGAAGATGGAAGAAATGCATAGAAGTATATACTTTATAAGTATTATAAGAAAATGATAGCGTCAATAGTTCAGTGATTTTCTGCAATCTAAATATAGTGTCTACATTGTTACTCTACCCTGCTTACATCTACAGTAATGCTACAGTAAACCGATGAATATAATGTAGTCAGCTGCTTTGCGGCCTAACAAGTTCGTACTAATTTTATTACGCTAACATGTTCATCCTAGTTTTCAATAGCAACGTAACTCAATGTCAAGTTTCCATGCAAAAAAGTTTACTGTAGCATTACTGTAGCTTAGTTGATCTCTGGTGAAGCACATGGGAAGCGTCATGAAAGCTAAGTCGTAGTTGGATAGACTCTATCCGAGCAAAATCTTTCTTTGACTGCAGAAATTTTATTCTAACCATGCTTTTATCCAGATATTCGATAGTACTTGTGCCACCAAATCCAGGGACTCGTATATCCACTCCTGGCATATTTGAAGTAGTTCCAGTTGTGGAGTTGAATACTAGCCTAGCACAGACGATTTCACAAAAATCATACGGATGGGGTAACAAAGAAAATACTCCTACATCATGTTGTCTAACCAGCAGTCGATAACCAGCGGTGTAAATAATTGTAGATTCAGCCACAAATCGAAATAATCCTTGGTTTGTTTCGAGCATATGTAATGCACAACTGAAGGTTTTCCTGTGAGATTCGCTTCCAATTGACTGCCAGCATCGCCAGGGACTGCAAAGTATCAAATTCTATTAATAACGAAGGATGATTGTCTTGCCTTACTGAGTATGACAGGATGTTTTGGGCTCTTCTTGAATACTCTGTTGAAAGGGGACATGCCCTCTGCGACTGATGCGCAGAGAGTCAGAAGTACAGTACATCCAAGTAACCGAAGGATCATCTGAAAGGTGAAAATGTTAAGACGAGAAAGGAATTATCTTGAACAAAGGATTAATAATCTACAACAGAGAAGGCTAAATTTGCAGTGGTACAGGCTATAACCTTTTTTACTACTACATATACTGAATTTAAAGTATTGTAGCCGTATAAATACGACTTCGACAATTTTTTACAAGCATTGATTTTTTATTTTCAAGCGCAAATGTAGCAAAATCAGATTTAAAAAATTCAGAAAACTTAAAAATGTGTCGACAACTTTCTGGAATCGCTTTCGCGCAATAGATTGTGAGAACTACTTTGTAAGTTTTTCCCCTAAGTTGCTACTGTTTTTAGCCCCCTTCTGTGACAACGAAGTTCGAAGAAAAGATTTACGACAGAACAACCACAAGCTATTTGATTCCGACAGACGAGAAAATCTGTGTAAAGTATGAAAGAAACGAAGCAGAGAACGATTCGAGTGTAAAGACTTTTCTTATCAACATAGGTAATCTTTATTTGTTTGCAATGAGTAAAGTGCAAATTCTTTAGGGACTTTCTGAACTTCAACATATTTTCTTGAGAGTAGATGCAAGAAAATGTCTACTACGTTCTTCTAAACGTTTATGGGGATTTGAAGCTACTAATTTGTTGCGTTATTGAACGTCTGAGCGTTCATTTATGTAATGTGGAAAACTAGTCAAACTGATTTGAACTGAATCATTTCTTTTTTCCGTGTAAAGTAGAGTTTTCTATTTCCTTCTATATATAGCGTAGTTAAATAAGTGGGGATGAAAAACTCTTGAGTTCAAATTCGATTATATGTAGTCTTGCGCAGCTAATGAACGCAGATAAAGGAAATGAAGATGGCTGAACCAAAGCATTTCAAAAAAGATAGCGCTAAGCTATGAATGAATGTGAAGGAAAGGAAACTGTGAACTAATTCAATCAATGAAAAGAATGAACAGAACTATTTATGTAAAGTTTTTAGAGAAAATTAGCATGCAGTGATGTGCAGAAAAACATCGATGCATACATATTTACTAAAAGCCACAAATTTCGTCCTTCAAAGACGCACAATTTCTGTGAACAAATCTGGTTTCTTTTTTTTGGTCAACTTCCCTTTTTGATGACCAAGCATGGCATTACAGCACTTAACAGATAAGAAAGGTCGAAGAATAGACAAAGTGCGGAACTGATTACTGGGCAATGATTACTTTGCCGCAGCAGAGAACATGTCGAAAAATCAAAAAGAAAAAAGAATGACCAAAGATCTTATTTTGAGCGAAAAAACTACAGTCGGAAAAAATAGTTGCAAGAAAGCTTATGATTGCACAAGATTATAGAAGTAAAACCTAAATCGAATAGTTACCGTAAGCGAAGCAAGCCGTAAAATTAAATGCGCGCCTCCGCAGTTACACACTGCACCATACTTCACGCCTAAAATCACAATTTTATGGGCATTTTGTTCCCGCAACCGACATGAGATGCTGAAACAGAAATTTCAAATTTTCAAAATTTAGATTCAGTAAAGCAAATGTTCGAATTGACGAGAAATTGTGATTTAGATGTTACCGAAGCTGCTCTATCCAACGTCAATAGTTGTTATGCTCAAAAAATCATGAGACTGGGTTTTCAAACAAAATTCGAATCTGAAGTTCAGTGGAGTAATTCCCCTTCGCCACTAAACTGGTATTTGAGCAGTTCCAATATAATCTAGACATTAATTCTTTTCAATATGGAGAATGTCAGAAACAAAATTGCGAATATGAGTTCATCAGTGATCCTCCCTTGGGCATTTCAATGATATGACCATTTGCTTTAGGCAAGACAGCCGCAGTCAAACCTATAGAGGTTGTAACCTATACGCTGTTTGGAGCCATTCAGTCAGTTATCACGCCAAGACTTTCGCATATGCCTCATCTATTAGGGCTCAATTTGTCTCTTCTGTTACAAGCTGCGACATTTTGCCACATTATTTCTCACATCTGCCGGTCTGATTCTGCAGATAATCAGAGCTTTGAGTTTGACAAGACTAGTAGTTTTGCTATGACTTGATTTTACCACCAATTTATTATTCAGATCACAAATCTTCATTGTAGAAATCAATTGTGATTTTAGGCGTGAAATATGGTGCAGTGTGTAACTGCGGAGGCGCGCATTTAACTTTACGGCTTGCTTCGCTTACGGTAACTATTCGATTTAGGTTTTACTTCTATAATCTTGTTATGATTGCATTTCGGGCAAATTCTCCCGATGGAGGCCTCTCGAACTTACAAATTCAGATTATAAAATGTAAAGAGCGATTTACAGCTTTAAATTCAGACACTGCAAACAAGTGCTATGGAACAGAAATGGAAACAGACAAAGACTGACACAAGTTCAGAATGTGGTGTCATCTTCTATAAATGGTGTTTACAGCGGTCAGCGCGGAAATGTTCGTGAGCTAAGGTCGCCGAGATAAGATAGCTAGCATTATTCGAGCATTTCAATAGAAAAAACAATAAGAAAAATTGACCAGCCTGAAGTGAGACCCTACTTTGGGGCACTACTAGAAAATGCAAATATTGCATGAGCTCTCCAAAATTAGAAAATCACTTCTCTTCAAACTACACTTGAAGAATGCATAGAACAATTAGAGTGGTACAAACATCTTGCAAAAAATGCAAAAGAATGATTTCAAAAATGTTTGAATATTTTTTCAAAGTATTGTTCACTTTTTGCAACATATATCAAAAGCTACATCTTATCATGATTGTTAACACGTTGACGACAACGCGCATTTTTGGTTGTCTGCCTTATGGGACAATGCCTTCCACGGATAAGTCGAAAATTCTAGAAAATCACGCAGATCGTCATCTAAACTATACCTACATGAATTCTTGAAAGCGCCCAAGAAACGTCAAGGTATCCTCTAGGGTTAGAGCGTAAAAGACCTCATGGAACGGATGTAACCAGTAATTGTTATCATTTTAACAAAATTTATGCCGTGACCCACCATGTGGGTCACATTGTCCTACGTGGCAATCATTGCATGACCCACCATGTGGGTCACGTTGTCGTCAATGTGTTAAAGACTCTTCTTGAATTGGCAGAAAGCTTGACGAAAAAAATTCGAAATTTGTAACTGTTTACAATAACTTCCGATCAGCATGAGCTCGCAGTAGAAAAAGTATGTCCTAGAACCAAAAACAAAACGAAGTGAGAGTTTAGTAGACGTTTCAGTGATTTTAACAAGCAAAAAATTCAAATAAATCTAAAAACCACCCTTTGAGTGTTTTTCTTTATCAGCTTGTTTCATTGCGATATTGCCATAATATTCTTTGCTACAAATACTTCCGAAAAGCAGAAGATTTTTTCTATTCAGTGTGTATCAAAGTGAAAGACTACTGAAGTTCCGATAGACTACGAGCTTTCAAATTGTTAGGTGCTAGGATTATGTATCAACCTTAAACATTACCTTTGCAAAAATAGCATTAAACTGCTCCAAAGCGAAAGTCAAACTATCAAAGTGATCCAGGCAGAATGACGCAAATAAATGACCGGCACTCAGTGGTGCTGGTAGTGTAACAAGTCAAAGAGTCGATAGCACCACAAAGTCAGGTGATCACGCAGGAAGTGTTAATTGGCACCGAGTTGTTTCCTATAAGATTTTGACACAACTGACGCGGGTTCTCAACATCCTGGTGCAAAATGCACCATGCAAATGTTTTGAACCCTCGGCTCGAAAAAAGCGCAAAAAAAATTGAAGAGAACTGTATCAGATTGAGAACAGATTTCATCATTTTAGCTGACAACAAAATAGATTTTGTGTAACAAGAACTACATGGATAAAAACACCTAAGAAATTTCTGTAATTCATTACGAAACCATGACATGTTATAGATAGCACGTTATTTTGAAATGTCATAAAAAAGAAATAATTTTCTAGAAAGCACACTCCAACCATATAATTATTACGATTCATCGTAAGAAATTCGAACCAGCTACCTTACATGTTTGAAAGTTTTAGAGCAACCTGAACTCTAAAGGAAAAAATTTGGCTTTTCATGTGACCTAAGGTCCGGTGACTCATACATGCATTGCAAACTTAGGTTGAAGTGATGAGGCATACCCTAGTGAGGAACGCAAGAAATTAAACTCTTGACTCGTACAACCGCAAACTGGTTTTGCAAAGCAACAAAATCAAAGACTTGCCTAGTTCAGGATTGCACAGTTTGACATCATTTTTTGGTTACATTGCATTCCTTGATTGAAAACGGTGGCGTCTACATAAAGCATTATCAGAGGAGCGCACTTTACAATAGTGAGGATTGTGCTCATTAGGAAAGATATAATCGCATGTCTGTCTTGTACCTAGTTTGTGAAATTGGCCTATATTTGATCATCTACAGTAGATCGATTAAATCTGTGTAACATTCCTAATGCAAAATTTGTCTCCTTAAAGGCGCAGGATTACACCGGTGGCCTAACTTTCTTATGCAAACTATTTTTCGCTAAACTTCCTAAATAGATTTTTTGAAAGAGGGGTTATTTATCAAGATATCCTAACTAACCCTTACATCATTGTCTTGGTCTGTGAATGTACTGACATAAACCATCTATATGCAGAAGAATGTTGGTATTTTCGCGTCATATCAACTTACTATCATAGCAAGTATTTATTCCATTTTTCTTAAGCTTCCACACATTAGCAGCGGAAGTTAGATAAAGCACCTACAAATTTTCGAACTGGTTGGAAATCAAGAGTTCTAGCCAAGTTATATCTACAAATAAGTTCTTTGACTTTCAGCTTTACAGCAAGATAATCTCCAAACAAATACATCATCAAAAAGAATGGTGCCATTGCTGATTCTATGACGAAATATAAATATCAGAGTCTGAGTTCAGAAAAGCATTTAAGTTCAGAAAGCCATTTTCGTAGCTCTTTATTTTACTCTGGAGACTTGAGAAGTTTCCTAACCTGACATTGCTGTGAGGCATAAATGTGTTTACCTCATCCAAAATGCAATTCTGAAAATCAACTCATAAAAATAATTAAGTTGATCATATTGTTATTTATAGTGTATTACAAGTGAATTTCTATGCACTAACCTTCGTTCTGATCTGTTTTGTTGTATGTTGTTACTATCAGATCGAAACATTGGTTTCAAAACATTTCGACCCTGGCAGGACTCGAACTTGCACTCTTCGGCTCCGGAGACCGACGCCTTATCCATTAGGCCACAGGGCCACGTTTAATATCGTTATTCACATCACATCGCCTTACCGTAGCGAATTTCCATGCACTGACCCTCGTTCTGATCTGTTTTGTTGCATGTTGCTATTATCAAATCGAAATATTCGTTTCAAAACATTTCGACCCTGGCAGGACTCGAACTTGCACTCTTCGGCTCCGGAGACCGACGCCTTATCCATTAGGCCACAGGGCCACGTTTAATATCGTTATTCATATCACATCGCCTTACCGTAGCGAATTTCCATGCACTAACATTCGTTCTGATCTGTTCTGTTGTACGTTGTTACCATCAAGTCGATGCATTCGTTTCAAAACATTACGACCCTGGCAGGACTCGAACTTGCACTCTTCGGCTCCGGAGACCGACGCCTTATCCATTAGGCCACAGGGCCACGTTTAACAAAACTCATAAAGTGGGTGTAGTCACATGCGACTATTGTAAGTACCAACGATGTATTGCAAAGTGATATGTTGATGTTAAATGATGAATTACATGAACGCGTGGATGCTAGTCTGATTAGCGATGCGTGGCAATTTTGACCACGTACATGTGTTAGTTCGTCATGCCATTTGTTCGGCATAAGAGAGCCGTTTTCTCTCTCTTTCCATTTTCAATAATCATAAATTCTGAAAGAACATTAACTGAGAACTATCTGAGCTAATAGTGCTCCTCGATCTGTCATAACGAGCCAGGAACACAATAATTACAACAAAATGTATGCGCGATGTGACAGTTTTAGTTTGCCTGAGAAAATAATGGTTTGGAATGAATTCAAAGCCCTTTTCTTTGCAAAACAACATTATAATGCCTTTTACCAAAAAACATAGGCTTTCAACTGTGATTTCCCCTTTCATCACCATTTCAAAGTATCAGTGGCTGATAAGCACGCAAAAGTGTTGACTCAGCTAATAATCCCCATTCAATAACCGAAAACAGTGGCATATACGTATAGATCAGTACAAATGACAAAATTTTCAAATTCTGAGAAATTTTTCATAAAAGTTTCCACAATAAAGTAGAAATGAAGCATTTTCAATACTCTAAGTATGGATGATGTTGTTGCTTCAAGCCAATCATTTCTGCAGACACAGTATTTCCTGTAATCATTCAGATAAATCAAAACAGCTGTTGAATCACAAAAGAAAAATTTGTTAGTATGGTTGGTTTCGCTTCTCGGCCTTTTTGCTAACAAAAAGCCTTCTTTTGTCGAAATGGCCTTTCCAAACGAAACTATATCAATTTGTAAAGCTTTGTACGGTGATTCCAATCTGTTTTCCATTTCTGCGAAACGGATCCCAAAAAAGTTATGAGTGTTTGAAATTCCAAATTTGCTGCATAAAATTAGCGAAAAACTGCACAAAAACAGCTGAACGTAGGTAAATCAAATTTGTACCAAGTATCCAAATACAAGAAAGAATTTGGCTTGTGAAATCCGCGGTGGTTTTAACTTTTCGTTGATTTTATGCAACTTTAGGCTTGACAAATTTAGACTTTTAAACATCCGTAAACTTCTTTTGAAGAGCCATTCCGGTGGAAAAAAGACGCATTTGAATTATCATACAGTGTTCCAAAAAGTGATATAGGTTTCATTTGTAAAGACCACTTTGACCGAATAAAACTTCTTGTGAGACCAAGCTTAAGCTTCGGTATCAAACTAAATTATGAGCCTCGTTGAGATTATTTGTTCTTTGGAACCGGATGGATTGCGGGCTTGCTCATACCTCACTATGGTCCGCCCGCCGTTGCACTGCTGCTGTATGGGCCCACAACATTGCTGAGATCAAAAGCAAGAGACTACTGGTTGTTACGACCTCTATTAACCGCCGAAACAAACACAAAACGGTATACTTAGCTAATTCCCCATTTTTTACTCTCTGTTCTTCCCGTTGTGCATCTAATAGGTCGAAATCTGCTATTTCTCGAAACACAACGCATGTAGATGCGCGAAAATCGGCAGCTGAAGGTTCATCTGTAAAATCATGAGACGGATTTGACTGCGACCTTTGCGTCCACAGGACATAACACCCTCATGCAAAAAGACATCGCCTCAACGCTCAGCTCAGTCATTTCCAGTGTCCAGGTAACCATACCTAAGCAGAAAAACCTAGTCAAATAGAGATTAAATCCAAGAAAATGCGGTTGCCGGAAGGTGCGTGAGTGTCGCGCGTCGCGCCGCCGTCACGATTTTTTAAATCCTTCTTATAAAAAGCTGAATGTCTGTTTGTCTGTCTGTGTGTATGTATGTGTGTGTGTACGTATGTTCTGAATAGAGAATTCCTTCTGAACCGATCCGGACCAAACATGTCCACATACACTTCGGGGCGGGGTGGGTGTCGTAGGCTACTTTTCGTTATCGATCGATATCGAATTCATCGATTTTTTAAGATTGATAAAGGGGGGTAAGTGAGCATGCTGATTACGAATAAATGACAGGGCCGGGCGGAGCCGGGTTTGCCAGTAGTGCCCTATACTCTAGCTCGCATTTAACATTCAAGTTAGCGGAAGGAATATAGGATCAAAGAATGTGGAAATTGCTGCTTTTCAATCACCTCAGTTTCTGTCGTTTGAGTTCAACTTCCATATAAACGGGGCATGCAAGTGTGTGTATATGTGTCAAGGCAGAAATCGGAATGCCATTAGAAGAGGAATATAATACCAGGGCGTTTGGATATGGCCGGAACGAAAACAGCAACCCTGCTCCTGGGGCTTCCCTCAGCCGCACGAATGGAAATGGAAATTTCACCTTCCTAGCATGTTGACGACAGCACCGTGCACTGGTGCGGCAGGCAGTTTGTCTCTGTTTCCGCGCTCAAATCGCGTCCTAATGTTGAAGAACCTCAAAGTAACCTTAACCTTGACCCCGCCCCCGTTAGGCAAGCTTCGCCCACTTTTCAAAAATGCCGGAGTTTTAAGTTTCTGGAGCACTCAGCATTTTTTGCCAAGTAGGCGCAGCTGGCCACAGAAGGGCGGAGCTGCCCCTTTGTGGCAAACCCCGCTCGCTTGGCATGTATATTCATGTTTCAGCATAGATGCATGATATCATTCATTCTCTGACTAAGAGACGCGAGCAAGCTTTGCGTACGTCTGATTAACATGATAATGAGTGGGTTTTAATGCGTTATGGGGAATTACTATCGAAAATTCGTGAAAGAACATGTTCGAACTCGCGTTTTTAACATACTCGTACATGTTCCTTCACAAATCCTAAAACTAAATCATTCAAAACGCGTCAGAACGCATGGGTTGAAGACAGGGTAAAGCGGGGGGTGCGGCACGCCGCAGGGGGGGGGGGGTAGGTAGGGGGGGTCGTATCGACCCGAGGTCAAAAGCGGTTTCTAAGGGGAAATGACTGCAGCTAAGTCCTTAGATGTGCCACGCTGTTGAAATCCTGCAAAATTCAAGTTCAACGACACAAACTTGCAGATAGCGTATGCCTACCGTAACCTACCGTACCTCTAATCAAGCATAATTGTCGTAATCCGCGTGTCGAATAACCCCTATGCACCAAGTTTCAGCGAACTCTGAGGTCTCCGAGTAGTAAACAACCTTGTATAAAGCAGTAATTGTGTACATGATTAACTTCATCTTAACGGCGAGTAAGCTACCTCTTCTTGCACTCAATACAAAGCACTACTCCTTCTTTGTCCACCTCAGGAATCCCGCTTTAGAAGACCTCCAAACTATTGAATTAGAAGCTAACCAAAATCGCTTTTAGCTTTTAATCGCTGTGCTTTCACCAAATATTACTCAGAGCTAAGAAGACGAATCAGGCTCAAAACATCCCTATGGAATCTATGAGGTTTAGGCTATTGATTTATATAAACATTGTCCGCTAAAAATGTTTTTTTGATATAGTTAATGGCCTGCGGCACCCCCCCCCCCCCCTCAAAACCTGCGGCTGCCGCAGGTTTTGAGGGGGGGTGCCGCAGGAACCTTTTTCTTTAGAAGAAAATACATATGGTTTTTGCGAACCATATGCTGGGGAGTGTGGCCAAAAAATATTGGGTTACGGTAGCGCTCGAAAGATTGTCAAAACACACAGAGGCGCGAGATACGCGCCTTTGAATCCCACTCTCGTTATGAGCTGTGATGTTCTCGCCTTTTTGTTCTTTTTCATCACTTGTTTCTCTCATTGTTCTTTCGGAAAACTTCAGCCCTATTTGTTATGCAGTGTTACAGGTGTTGTTCCATTACTAATCACAAAACAAGTGTATTGGGAAAATTTTTTTGAAGAGTTGTTTGGTACATGAAAGGAAATACAAACAGCAATCGTCTTTCTGAGAAGAACGAAGGTTTGCGAAGGTTTTTTTTCAATGCTTGCATATGATCAATCCTTTTTTTCTTATTAAATCAACTTTCAACGATTGTTATCAATTTTTACGTTAACCTTATGCGCTGTTGGTATTTTCCAATTAGAAAGTGCATCGTCTGCAAATGTACCATATCACCACATTTTTGAGCTTATTCTGTCTCATCTCGTTTCTTATCGCTTTCATGAAGAGTGCTTCAAGCCTTGGGCAGAGTTCAGGAGACTTCATCTCTTCGCGTTTCTCCGACGAAACAACAGTACGAGCCCATTGCATGTTGATCGACTGTCGACTCGTGA